TAAACTTGGTAACCGAACATTTAGTAAACGTAAAGAACAATACTGTACTAAACTTGGTAACCGAACATTTAGTAAACGTAAAGAACAATACTCTACTAAACTTGGTAACTGAACACTTAGTGAATGTAAAGAACAATACTGTACTAAACTTGGTAACTGAACACTTAGTGAACGTAAAGAACAATACTGTACTAAACTTGGTAACTGAACACTTAGTGAACGTAAAGAACAATACTGTACTAAACTTGGTAACCGAACATTTAGTAAACGTAAAGAACAATACTGTACTAAACTTGGTAACTGAACACTTAGTAAACGTAAAGAACAATACTCTACTAAATTTGGTAACTCATGTTATTTAGAAATATTGTTTTGATATATATATATATATATATATTGAGCACTCACACAGTATAGAGAGAGCTGATGTGGCACAGTAATTGTTGTGTTGTACCTTTATAAACCTTAGTGTTATATCAATAAACGTTAATCCAGCAAGGTGTAGCCATATAGATTGCAGGTGCTGCGGACTTATTGCCCTTCACCTGTACGGCAGTTTTAAAGTAGCTGTAGATACCAATGAACCTTAGGTTATTCTACCTGGTGTTTTGGTCTTTTACGCTCTCATATAGACCCTCAATTTTTCTCTTCACATATGCTTCTCACTTAACTATAGACAAATTGTGTTCGACTCGATATCCAGCAGGTGATACTTACTCTAAAGTCATATTGCTAAGACTGCCAACCCAAGTCTGTTTGAGCTTTTTTTTATATAAAACTTGGTTTTCTATGAACAGCTGCCTCTACCACATCCAATATGTATACACTTGCTTTTACTGGACTCTCTTTTTAAAATTGCTTGTTCTTCCAGATTTATTCCAGACTGCCGAAATCAAGCGTCTTCTCTGTCCAAAAAGAATAGCGATAACCACGTGACTGGTCGTTCTCTTTCAAACATTGGTGAAGCCGTAACCTCAAGATATCACCTAAACTACCTTAGAAGGAAATTTCTGTCGACATCCTTCCACCACTTGCAGCATTACAGCAATATACTCAAGAACAAAATAGATATAATCTTCTAAAGGATAACAAAGGAATAAACACAGCTAGAATAAAATGAGCTTAACGGCTTTCTCAGCCACGTGCTTTGTGAAACCTATACATACACACAATAAATCATAATTTCAGGATAAATACTATGTTAATAATACAAGAAGATAGAAACGCATTGTATATCCATATACCACACAGGTTTGTTTTTCACTGTTGATAAACGGTCTGGCATAGCATGGTAGTTAGGGGCTCGTTCTTTCAGCAGTGGGGGCGTTATAATGTTACGATCAATACCACTATTCGTTGGTAAAATAGTAGCTCAAGAGTTGGCGGTGGGTGGTGTATACTAGCTGCCTTCCCTCTAGTCTTACACTGCTAACTTAGGGATGGCTAGCGCTATAGCCCTCGAGTAGTTTTGCTGTAAATTCAAAACAAGCAAATCAAACTGTTGACAAACTGATCACTGGCGTTTTTGAAAAGTTTTTTTTCATAAAAATCCTGATGATAGCCAACTGTCCACTACCAAGCATCTTTGAAAGTTGGTTTTGTTTGTTTGTTTGTTTG